TAGCTGGAGTACTGCATCCAGTTCTGGGTGCCACACTTAGAAACTATGAAACTTCAAGAGGGACGTGGACAACATGGAGAGGGTCCAGAGGAGGGCCACTCGCATGATCAGGGGGCAGCAGGGCAGGCCCTACGAGGAGAGGCTACGGGACCTGAATCTGTTCAGTCTCCACAAGAGAAGGCTGAGGTGGGATCTAGTGGCCTGTTACAAACTAGTCAGAGGGGACCAGCAGGTATTGGGGGAGTCCCTGTTCCCCCAAGCACTACCAGGAGTGACTAGAAATAATGGTCACAAGCTGGCAGAGGGTAAATTCAGATTAGACATCAGGAGGTGCTACTTCACTGTCAGGGCGACTAGGATCTGGAACCAACTTCCAAGCGAAGTCGTGCTAGCTCCTACTCTGGGGGTCTTTAAAACAAGGCTTGACAATCACCTTGCTGAGGTTGTTTGCCCCCAGTACTTTTTCCTGCCGTGGCAGGGGGTTGGACTTGATGATCTGCTCAGGTCCCTTCCAACCCTACTAACTATGAAAAACTATAAATAGAACATCTATGTTCCTTCAGAAACCAATCACTAAAAGGATTACAGTATTTTATTTGTAGTGGATTGATTTTACCACATTAAAAGCATATTTAGATGGTAAAGCATTCAAAGAATATGCAATATTTGCGTGCAAGATTCACCCTTACGGGGGTTCAGAAAATCCAGCCATAGTGGAGAGCATGGTTTTGCACGCAAAGCTTGGGTACTGTGCAGAAGGGTGCAACTGAAAAAAATATTTGCACAATGTACCCAGGTTATTAAAATGTAATTTACTCAAAATATTATATAGCAGAATATCATTGTTGTGATACCTTATCCTCTTGAAGATCAAAAACTTAAATTAAGCAACCAATATTAAGAATTTACCTCAAACACAAAACATTTAAAAAGTCAAGAGCAACCTTGTTCAGAGCTGTCACATACTCTGCAAGCTATGGCATGCTTGTCCAATCTGTGCCAGTGCTTAGAAGTGCCTTGTGAGCTAACACTTTTCAGCAAACAGCTGTGTTCTGCAGGCACTGTCTACACAAAAATGTTATGCTAGGGCACCTCTCATTAAGTTTAAGGTAAATAATCTTGCATTCACATGCAATCTGCTTTTAAATTGCAGCAATTGTTAGGTTCCAGTAAACAAGCCTGGTTGGAAGAGGATAGCACAACTGTAGAGTTAATTTAAAATTGTACAGATATGTTCCTAACTATTCCACAGTCTTCCAACTAATATTGCATTCTGCCTGCTTCACACGAGGATCAACCTCTTTGAATATTGGGTGTCTTGAACTGTCTCAGTGCCTGGATGTCACGTTTCCATTTAAATGCTAATGAGCTGCCAGAAGTATGCCTTTTCATACCAGTTGGTAGTGAGTTCATATAACGATAACAGCAGCCATGATTATTCCTGGACACCTATTCCATGCTTCTATGCGAACCACTACAAAGATCCAGGGCTTGACTATTCCTCCCCACAACCCCTCCCCGCCACACCCCCTCCCACAACATGCATGCTCAGTTCTTTCTGGAGAAGAATCTTTAGAAGACACTCAGAAAATGAATGCATTCTGGTGCTTGTCCCACTTTCAAATCAAAGCAAAGGAGACACAAGGCATAAGACCAATATAGGACCCACATTATCAATCGGGGTGTGCAATTATTTGGGCTAGAGGGCAACTTAAGGAGTTTTGGTGAGCTGTTGTGGACTAGGTCAGCACCCCACAACAGCTCACTAAAACTTGTTAAGTGGCTTTGCCTGAGGGCCTGACCCTGTGTTGTCACCACCTGGTGATCCCAGGGTTTCTATGGAGATAGGCAGGTATGTTCAGCCAGGCAGATGGGATGGGGCTGTGGTTGTGGTGTCCAGGAGTGGGACAGGTGGGTGGGACCACAGCTAGGGTCGGAATCCTGGGGCGGTGACTGTGCAGATGTGGGGCTCAGGGCAGAGGTACGATCTGCTCCCTACACACCTCTACCCACAGAACTGGTGCCCATTGCAGAGACATGTGGGTAGTGGATCATGGCTCTGCCTTGGGTGCTGGCCCAATGCTGTCACTATTCTGTGATCCTAGTCTCAGCCCCAGTTCTGCTCATCCCACTGCCAGGACACACTTTGGGCCAGATAAAATCCCTTGTTGAGCCATATTCAACCCACAAGCTGTATTTTTCCCACCCCTGAATGATCTGCTTAAGAGGCCTGCACCAGTTTTTTGCAGAAGATGCCATCTCCAAACTTAAGAGTGATGCATTAGATAATTAGGTGCCTGGCATCAAAAAACTTATCAAAGGGTCCCTTAACCCCATAAGAACCACCATTCTCATGTCACTGTAGAGAGGGGGTTCCATCAGTAGCTAGCCTGGAAATACTGCAGAAGGGAGCTCTACCAGTAATCCAATTTAACTGCATTGGTGACAACTGGGTACTAGCTGTCTGTCACCATGCTGGGCACAGCTAAGAGCCTCTATCTGTGTATTTGGCATTTAAGTTCCTCCCACAGTGTGCTCAATTTGATGTCTGTACCAAAAGACTCAAAGCTTTAAATTATTTTTCCCTTGCTATATCAAGCCTACTGGGAGGCATGTAGCTCATTTCATAGGGGGACTAAAAGGACCTGGGGTTGATCCAAGGGACCAACAATGGGTTTCCATTCATTGTTTTCACTCCCAGTACAGCTCTAAGGCCCACTCATCCAATAGGTACCAGGAGTCCCTTGCAGGGTGACTGGAGTGTGGTGTTGACCACATCACCTACTTCTTATGCCAAGGTTAAAAGAATCAGCGGAGTCCTGATTTCAAATGGCTCAGGGCATTAGTAGGGGAGGTGATGGGGGACCAAGGATGGAAGGTGAATGAGGTGTACAAAGAGTGGTTGTTCCTCAAGGACACAATCCTTGAAGCACAAAAGAAAACCATTCCCATGAAGAGGAAAGGTAGCAGAAGGGCTGGCAAGCACTCCTGGCTCAATAGGGACATTGCGGTCCTCTTGAAAAAGAAAAAAAAGAGACATACACACAGTGGAAGCTAGGGACAGTCCTCAAGGAGGACTATACAACCGTGGTCTGCACTTGTAGGGAAATGATTAGGAAAACTAAGGCAGCAACTGAGATTAAGTTAGCCAAGGGAGTCAAGGACAATAAGAAGTCCTTCTTTAGGTATGTAGGGAACAGAACAAAACAAATGGAAATGTGGGGCCCCTGCTTAACACCTCGGGACAGCTGGTAACAGACACTCAGGAAAAAACTGAACTCCTGAATGGCCACTTTGCTTCAGTATTTCACTGGACCAAGGGGAAAGACAGGTGAGACAGGATCACAGGGGGCGTGGTGGGAATGATAGCCTTCCCAGTGTGGATGCTGAGCTGGTGCAAAATCAACTAAAAAAGCTAGACATTTATAAGTCACCAGGACCAGATATACTTCACCTGAGAGTGCTAATGGAGCTGGCTGAAGTCATTGAGGAATTCTTGACAAAACTCTTAGAAATTGTGGCACGCAGGGGAGATCCCTGAGGATTGGAAGAGGGCCAACATTGTGCCCCTCTTCAAAAAGGGGAAGTGGGAGGACCTGGGCAACTATAGGACAATTGGCATAACCTCCATCCCAGGGATAAAACAGAAAAACTTACTAAAGGATCTATGTGCCATATGCTCATTGAGTGTAAGATTCTTAATGACAGTCAGCATGGCTTTGTTGCGGGTAGGTCTTGTCTTACCAATCTCATCGCCTTCTACGAATAGGTCTCTTGCCACCTGGACATGGGAGAGAAGGTCGACATTACATACCTAGACTTCCAAAAGGCTTTTGTTCTAGTAACCCACAATATCCTTGTGGAAAAATTGGAAGTATAAACTGCTTAACAGTTCAGTGGGTGGAAAATGGGCTGCATGGTAGGAGCCAGAGAGTTCTCATGAATGGATCTGTATTGTACTGGCGAGATGTGACCAGTGGTGTCCCTCAGGGGTCCATGCTTGGACCAGTACTTTTCAACATCTTTATCAATGATTTGGATGTGGGGGTGAAAAGCTCACTGGTGAAGTTGTGGATGACACCAAATTATGGGAAAGTGTGGCCATGCCAGAGGATAGGTTGCAGATACAGGCAGACCTGAATAGTCTGGAGAGTTGGGTGGACCGAACCAAATGAAGTTCAACACTCAGATGTGTAAGGTGCTCAATCTGGGGGCAAACAATCCCCAAAATACCTACAGGCTCAGTGGCAACAATTTGACTTGCACCACAGCCGAAAGGGACCTTTGCATGAACATGAACTGGCACTGCAATGCTGTGACCAGCACGGTGAACGACACACTGGCATGCACTAACCGTTGCATCTCATGCAAAACTAAGGAACTGATACTCCCACTGCACTCTGCAGTGGTGAGACCACACCTGGAGTACTGCGTCCAGTTCTGGGCAACGTACTTCAATGAGGATGTGGTAAAACTTGAGAGTGTCCAGAGAAGAGCCACCCATATGATCAGGGACTTGCAAGACAAGCCATACTATGAGAGGCTGAGGGGCTTGGGCCTGTTCAGCCTACAGAAAAGAGGGCTGAGAGGAGACTTGGTAGTGGCTTACTGCTACACCCGGAGAGTACATCAAGAACTCACTGAACAGCTGCTCACCAGGGCACTCCTGGGGAAGACAAGGAGCGATGGATACAAACTCCTGGAAGGCTGCTTCAGGTTCAGTTCCAGGAAAAACTCCTTCACAGTCAGAGTGTTCATATTGTGGAATAAACTCCCTCCAGTTGTGGTGCGGTCACCTACCCTGGAAATCTTCAAAAGGAGACTGGACAGTCACCTTGCTGGGCTCACTTGACCCCAGTTGTTTTTTCCTGCCTAGTGCAGGGGGACTGGACCCGATGATCTACAAGGTCCCTTCCAGCCCATAACAATTAATGAATCTATGAATCAATGAGCCTCAGTAGCCTGTAAATAGGAAACCTTTACATCAAACCTTAGAGCCATCACCTGCCGCTTCAGTTTATTTTGGTACAACTCTGCTGAAAAATTTAACTGATTTACATCTGTAACCATAAACGGTATTACAAAATTCCTCCCAATACTCTTAAATCCTAATAAATTCTAACATAAGATCATGGCTACAAGAATATACTGATTCACAACAATTACCTGGCTTAAAGTAGGAGAAAAATGCAACCCCAAACCCTTTTTGTCCACTTGGGGAATTTTACTGAGAAACCTTCTACTACTGTCATCTCAGAAATTGTTCAGAATGTCTCTACTTTTTGCTCCAATCCATCCTCCAGGTTCCCTCTTAGATGCTGTGCAGGCATTGTGCAAAGAGAATTTATCAAACAAGGTAAAAAACCTTTTCAGAGGTTGCTGCCATTTACGCTTCAGTCTTCCAAATAATGTCCACTGAGACTGTCACTAATGGTCCCTTTTTCGTGGCCATATGTTCAATGAGAAGCTACCTAAGCCAATAAGCAAGACTTGGATATCTCAGAAAGAATCCCTTCAAAATTCCTTGCTCCATTAATGCACACAATGGTTTGGAAAGAAAATACTGTCTTGCTTGTTTCAGCCTACAGCTGTAAGATTGTAATTATCCTGGCATCATGGACCTTGCAGGCCACTTCACTTTGATACCAGTGACTCTTCCATGGTAATCAATGAGGCTTTGCTATATGTCATGAGGAAATTCTCCTTCCTGTTAATAAAGTCTTTGGCCTCATCTGAAAAACAAAGAATAGGTGCAAGAGTTTAGAAACTCCATCCATAAAATGCCATCAATGGCCTCCTACATCTGGCCACAGTTTGAGACATGATAGGACAGCACCTCTATCAGAGCACTTCAGTCTTTCAGGGAAACAGCTGACAGTTGATATACCAACACCAAAATTATTTAGGCTTCCAAATGGGAATGATAACCTTCTGGAGGATAAGGGCAACATTTCTCCGTGCTGAGAGACACCCAGGGTTTTAGACTGAACTTGGCACAGTTTCTAGGAATCAGCTGTTGTTCAGCTACTCTTGGTCATCTCTGTTTGCATCACTACCCTGTGTCACTAATAACTCTTCATTGGTCAAGGATAGAAGCTGCTCCCCTTAATGCAGAAGAAACTGCTTGATTTCATCCAACCCCTCTTCCTGCTCCATCACCCATATTTCTGCAGTATGAAAAGCCCTATGAAATCGCAGATCTAAATCCACATCTCCATGATTCCAAACCCCTGTGTATTCTTGTTTGTGTTAATGACTGCCATGATTTGGCACTCGCAAGTACATTTTCCATGCTGACAGGAAACAAATAAGGAAAAGTTGTTAGTTTGACTCCATGTCCCAGAATTATTGTAATCTCTGGTAGCCACCCCAGGAAAAAATTGCAACTTTTTGACAACTATTCAGAATCAAAAGCCAGAGGGGGAAACACTTTTTATGAAATACTGTGAATTGTAGAACATGCAGAAATTAGTCAATGGGAAAGAAACGTCTGTTGCAATATGTGAAAATTCAGTTCTGGTGTTTTCTTAAGAAGCAACTGCCTCTAAGAAGCAACTGCCTCTAGAGCTAGGGTCTAAATAAAACATCTTTTACCAATCAGATTACAAGGGGGTTATATAAATTTATTTTTTTCTATGTAACAATTGATTAGTTTTGAAAAATCCCCATTTTTTATGTTTTAATTCCATCTTTCTTTAAAAAAAAAAAATCACTAAAAGGACACAACCCACAAAAATAGTCTGTATCTGCTCTAGATTTACAGATAACTGGTCATTATTAAGGCACAGATTCAAAACTAATATTTTAATTTAGCAAGTCAAATATTTTGTGCATAATACAACACTGACAACACTGTATGCTGTATTGTTATATTCCCTTTGTGGAATTAAAAGTGAGAAAAATATTTTCCAGTGTGTTTTTTGTGTATGTGCAGCCCTATTCAAGATCATGTTATTACTGGGAACTTTTTTACTTTGGTGTGGTTGATAAAAGCACTGCTCAGCAAAAGATCACATCAACTTAACACTGTAATAATGTCAGCCAAAAATATGTTTAGATGCAATATACCTATGAAAAAACTGAAAAAAAATGAGATGTGTAGTTTTTCTGAAAAAATGTTTAAACTTTAATATTAGGTAAGCTTAAAAATTAATCAGACTAACTAGGAAGAGATTGCAAGAAATTTGTATGTAGCGTTGCTAAATATTTATTTAAAAATATCATGTAAAACTATAATGTTTCTATGCTACTAAATTTTCAAACCATGGCAGTGATCTTGCAAACACTTACACAACTGCTTACTTTTAAATATGAGTAACTTTATATCAATGGGACTACTCATATGCTTAAAACTAAGCATGAGAGTAAATATTTGCAGGATTAAGGCCTTTGGCTACTATAACTGCTTGCATAAAATTCAGCATGTCTAAAAGATACACACAATATCTGATATGTTCATAGACTTTGGGCATTTGAGCACATAACTTTGGTGTGTAAAAACTGTGTGCATGCAACCTGGAGGTCTATACTTGTTCATCTATAATCTTAAACACAGAAAGAGTTAACTGCTATTTTATTTACAGTGGACGTTATTAAGCTACACACCATTAAGTGGATATGGCTGAAACCAATACTGAGCAGTTAATTTTTGCTATTTGCAACAGGCCACTTTATTACTGCTTGATCATCAATGCCCTCAGAATAATTACCTTTCAAAAATTCCCTTTATGTGTGCAAATGTCTCCATATATTGAATTTCTTTTCTCACCTTAAAATAATTATTCCTGGAAAGTGTCAAAACTATTTTCATGCCATTTTGTATAAAATTATCTACTGTAAATGGTTATTCTAATGCCTTCTCTTAAGAGCACTTGATAGTGGTTCATGTCCATCTTTAAAGGCTTGTACACTGAACATAAATAATACATTACAGTACAGATAATTCACAATATTTCCTATGGGAATGCTTTCCAACAAATTAATGTTTGGAACCTTCATACTGCATTGCAGAAAGAGAGGCACGTTATAACTTCCTTCATTATATGAAAACCCTTCATAAATCCATAACCAGACATCTGAAAAGATGCAGCAACAATACTGCCAAATTTTTTGGACTTTCACAGTATAAGAATATTATAGTTAGCTCTAGCCAGTTATCACATGGACTTTTTTTTTGTTAAACCAGTTTTTCAGAAATAGTTCAATCCCAGAGTTTTAAGTACTTCATAGCTGAAAATCGCAAACCTAAATCAAAACAGATGCTATAACATCTATTTCATATATGTTGCTTAATTGCTGCATGCAGAGTCACGTAAGTAATGTGTCACTTAATAAATGGCAACAGTGTGGTCTTGCCAAATTAGATTAGTTGTCTGCTTCATCAAACTTATGGCACACAGCTCCAGTCTGACGAACGCCTTTCATTCTCTACCATAAATTTTTAGTAGATCTCAGTTTAATTTGTTATGTACTGTTAGTGTATAGAATCTAAATATAAAAGTTTGATATAAATAAATGTCCTCTAGTGGCAGTATACTAAAAATAGCCCTCTGTGTTGAGACAACCATTAAAATCAGTTGTAGCATTATACGCAGAAGTTAAATATGATGACTGCAAAGGGTTAATATTGCAAGGTCCATTTTGGTCTTTCATTACATCTGTTAAAGTGAATGAGTTTTGTTGCAAACAGTTTTAGATTGCTTCCTAAGAACATAATAGGACTGGTCTACTACCAGGTGGTTTGATTTCTGAATGCTTCTTCAGGCAACTGTGGGGGAAAAATCTACATACAGATTGATTCTTAGTACCCTGGTGGTGAGATTTGACCTAATATAGGAACACTGTAAAATTTGAAGAGTGCCAATACAACATTTTATATGGAAATAAAAGAGAGAAAAATAAATTTCCACAGGACACGAAATCAGAACACATAAAGTGCAGAAAGACCTCAATAATTATTTTAAGCAGTACCAGAAAAATCCATCGTGATAAAATCAAAAGCTATGCTCTCTGGCATTTCAGCTCTTCATTTTTCCTTCATTCAATAAAGTAAAAATTCAGTGCATACATTATAGTTATAGGTAATAAAATACTAAACAAAGAACCCTATATTATTATTATTGCAAATTCTGTCCATTCTAAATGAGTAAAACATAACCCACATTTGGTGTTCTGAAAGATGACACACAAGTGTTTTCTTTTTTTGGCACAGTACTTGTGCAGACAAAATACTTTGGTCCTTGATACCCAAACTCCCAAAGTGCAGAGGATGGGTGTGCAGTGACAGTTGTCCACAGGATTGCCATGTCCATCTTTACAGTTGACTGTGAGCCACAACATACCGTTACCAGCGACCGCTGATACTAGCAATGTCTGAGTGATACTGACGTGGCAGTCTTCCGCTAGCTCCACCTTCCAGGAAAGAGGCACGTATGTTTGATGGGTCAAACAACTTTCTTCGGCTTTTATTCAGTTCTATGTAGGAAACAACAATAACAAAATTTCAAAATTATGCTGCATGCAGAGTTTCTATGATTATGCATAATTCCTGAAAAGAGTACATTGTGTCAAATTTACTTATACAAATTCTTAAGAAAACAAAGCAAACCCTTAAAACTGACAAAAGCACCACAGTGGGAACACTTAAAACACCCTGATCAAAGACTGCAAATTTTTCAAATAGAAAAACGCAGGTGCACATTCAACAGAGAACAGCAATGTGACATATCAGGTTACAAAATGCTATGACAGAATTTTTCTATAAAATAACTCTAAATAATTGAAGTTAACACAGATCTTTACTTTTGAACCTCCAAGTAACAACCATGACCTGGCACCTCAAAAAGGTCCCCAACCTCTCCAGCTCCCCCCCAAGCAACAGGTTTAGATTGCCAGATATAGTCTAAAGTTTTTTTTTTTTTTTTTTTTTTTTTTTT